CCGGCGCTATATAGGAGGCATCAGCTTATGCAACTCTGTTCCCTCTGGTGCCGCCTCACTTCCTCTAGCGCTGGCAGTGGCGACTCTCGGAACAATATATAGGGGGGCACATAAGATACCACAGTCAAAACTGGGGGGGCACTAATAATTTTCACCACTAAATCATACCACTGAAAAAAACGAAAGAAGTATATATAAATAAGATTACAAATATGAGAGTAATGCAGTATGCAATGATTATATATATATACACACACAATCAATAAAAAGGTATGTGTATGTAGACAGATGGGTTAGACTCAGGGCCAGAAGTGCTTGGATTAATGTCTGGGCCCCCCAAGTGACAGAATCAAATGCTAGGGCCCAGTCACATCTGCATATTGGACATTTCTTTTGATTTTGATTTTGATTCTCATTCTTCTGGGCTTTTTTTGTTTTGAAGATCGGAGAGCTTTAAGAACTTTGGGTGCATTTTTTATATTATAAGTGCATACTTCTACTTATTTTCGAAAGAAAACAACACAGACTGTTTTGTATTGTGATATTTTTATTTTTCACATATATGACACATGTTTATTTATTTATTTAATATTTTTTCACAATAATATTTTTTTCACATATATGACACATGTTCTTTGAAGATTTTTGTTTATTTATTTAATAAGGTTCATGTATGACACGCCTTTTATGACACCTGCTGACACATTTTATAACGTACTATAAGTTTTTACACAAATATTTATTATATATACACTGTTTCACGATTGCTTGACACGGAGGTGACACCATATGATCCCTACCGTTATCTAATTTCCTGAAAAATCTAGCAAGGCATTCCTATGGTGAATTTTTTTTTAAAATTCTGATGCCAGTCAACGGCTCCGTGTCAGAATAATAAAGAAAAAGCAGTGTTTCTCTCCTGGGCGGCCAGGAGCGGGAAACTCCCGGAGCGCCAGGGAGAGTTAGGCTGTCTGGAGATCAGTGTCCCTGGTTAGCTGGTAACCAGGGACGCTGATCTCTCTGCAAGTAACTGGAGTCAGCCGTAAGATCACGGCTGGCTCC